AATAAGGATGACAGAAAAAGGATCAATGCCCTTGAGTTGTGGCGTCAGAAAGAGTATTCAGTATTTCATGAATGGCCAAAAAGCAAACTGGCATGTCTTGGAGAAAGTAGGGCCAGAGTGCTCCTTAAAGGTAAGGATGGTGAGCTTTTGTCTCACATTCCTTGGGCATGTTGTTAGGAGCAGCTATACCTTGAATAGGGACATCTTGCTTGGAAAGGTGAAGGGTCAGCAAAAGAGAAGAAAACTCTCAACAAGATGAACTGATACAGTGACTGAAGTAATGGGCTCAAATGTGTCAGAGCATCAGATCTGTTGTTCATAGAGTCACTATGAGTCACCCTCGACTAGACCACACCTAACAACACCGCGTATAAGAGGATTTTTTAATATCATTAAGATAGAAAGGTATGTGCCAATGGGAGAGTAATACCAGACTCTTGAGTCTCTGAATCCATGTTGTTGTTGTAGTGTACCACAGTAGAGTTGGAACCAATCCATAGCTGTCTCACATTTTCAGACGCAGTTAATCGCACAGGAGGAAATTGCCCATCCCTCTCTCACAGAGCAACTGGTGGTCTCGAACTGTGTGCCTTTGGAACTGCAGCACAGCTTCTTGCTACTAGGCCACCAGAGCTCCCTCCAAGATAAAAGAATATGAATTGATTATTTAAGAAGGGTATAGATAGATTACTTAATCAAGTGCTGGATCAAGTGAGCATCTTTAAAAAGAAAATAAAGAGCATTTTACATTTTTCTTTACTGAAAGAAAATAAAGAGCATTTACAGGTGGGATGAAAATGGCCCTAAGATATAAAACTCAGAAATTATCAATCCCATCATAAAATAAGGATACTGTATTTTATTCTTATAATGCAAATTCTTCTCATTAGCAGTAATGAAATGATTTCCAACCGCTAATGTTGTATTCTAATTTGTACTCTAATCACTATGCAAACATCTTTTACACATTTATAAATACAAGAACTAGTGTGGCACTATGACATATCATCTCATCCCAGAAACAAAGCAAAGTTCAACAGGCCAGCAAATAAGAAATGTTGGCAAGGTTGTGGAGAGATCAGAATTCTTATTAACAGATAGTGGAAATGTAAAATGGTACAGCCACTATGGAAGACAGTCTAGTGCTTTCTCAAAAAGTTAGAAATAGAAATAACGTTTGATCCAGCAATTCCACTACTGGAAATACATCCTAAAAAGACCAGAGCACCAACTTAAACAGATGTATGTCTACTCATGTTCACTGATGCATTAGTCACAATAGCAAAGAGATAGAAGCAATCTAAGTGCCAGTCAACAAACAAATGGATAGAAGGAAAAACATGGTACATTCATACAATGGAATATTATACATCACTGAAAAAACAATGAACTTGTAAAACATTACACAACATAGGATATAATGACCCTCAAGGGCATTATGCTGAGTAGAAAGATCTCGATCACAGAAGGACAAAAACAGGTCATGGTTTTTACAATTCTTTGCTATGCATCAGAACTAGCCGGACAATGACTACGGATGATGGAAAGCAAATTGATGCCTTTGAGCTGTAGTACTAAAGAAGAGTACTGACTATACCACAGACTGCTAGGAAAACAAGTTCGTCAGGGAGAGGGTGAAGCCAGGCTGCTTTTTGGAGGCGAGAATTCGGAAGCTTTATCTGACATACTTTGGTCATGTTGCAAGGTGGGATCAGTTCTTGGAGAGGGACATCAGGAGTGGGAGGGTGGAGGGAGAGTGCAGGAGTGGAAAACACTCGATGAGGTGGATTGATTCAGTGACTGAGGTAATGGGGATAGATGTGTCGGAGACAATAAGATTGGCACGAGATAGAGCAGGGCTTAGGGCTGTTGTGTGTAGGGTCGCTATGAGTTGACAACAATAACTGTTATAAAATAGGACAGATGGAGGGGGTTAAGGAGAGAACGGGGAAAGAGTGGATGGATAATGAACACTACATTAGATCAGATGAGGGGAAGAACTGACCCAAAGGAATACATGATTGGGTATTATTTGTTGACAACAATCTGGAACAAGGAGTGCATTGCAGGTAGGGGTAAGATGAGAAAGGAAGAAAGTGTAACAATGGGGGGGGGGGAATGAAAACACTTTAGAAGTTTAAAAAGAAATAGTGTGGCAAGAACCTGCTTAAAAAGAACATTTCCTTCAAATTCAATGAAGCCATTTCCTACTGAGTGCACACTGTAATGATCTTAGAGCTGGTGGTTTACAATCGCATGCAATTAACCATAAAATATAAAAATACAAATGCATAAAATACAAATAGAAAGTCTCATTTAAAAGCAAACATATACTATGCTTTCATACTTTTGAATGGTATTATAAAACTAATTTCTCAATAAGTCCCAACCATTTACTTAAGAATAATGACATTTATTTGTGTCTTCTAGGTTGCAACACCTCCATGATACATCTTCAAGGATAGGAACATGTATGGCCAAGCACAATCAATAAGAGTGCATCTAAATTCCAAAATCAATCTCCATAATAGTCTATGTGTTTCCTACTGCCAAAGGGGCCCTTAGAGTAGTGAGAGAAGATCTTCACCCTGAAACCCACAGCGTCCCTTTTCAGCAGGAAGTAGCTAAGAGAATACGCCATCCCCTTTTCCTTATGACTCAGGGTGAAGTCTCTCTCAGGGAGGAGTGATAGGGAATGGCAAAGGACACACTGACAAAGAAGATTTATCAGAACTGGCTTTGACAAGCACTGTGGCATTTGGACAAGAACAAACTGGGAGGAGGGTAGAGAGAATGGTGCAGCGGTGAATGAATGGAAACCCAAAATCTCTGTAAATGTTTTTGAAAATTAATAAAATATAATTATAGAAAGAAAAAAAAAGAATAATGACATTTAAACTTAGAACTCGAGAGAATTAGACTAACTACATTAGGAAATTGGGAGACAAAGCAAAATTGCCAGTATTCAATATCCTAAAGGTATTCTTCTATAAGCCAACAGAAAAGAAAAATATGCCAAGTGTTTTCTGGGGAAAGAGATAAAAACTTTGGGATTATGTTTCAGTATGTTGCCAAAGTATATTCAAATGCTTTTTAAGGTCATTTCTCTGAATGGCTTTCAGTTAGGCATTAGCTGTTGATTTCACATAATGGGAAAAGTATGATTTCACACAATGAGAAAACTATTTGCAAGTGCTACAGCAGATTCTATAACTGAAATGGAAGCTATCAAAGGTATTTCTTTGGGACACTTGCCATTATTCTCTTTTCTTCCCTAACTTCACTCTGAGGTTACCAGTTATTTTGGGCCTCAATACCTTTTACTTCTAACATCAAAAGTTCACTCCTATCCTTCTCTCCCTTAAGTTGTAATCAGGTTATCTTTTCTAAAATTTAATAAGTAATTCTGACATTGTCAATAATCAGGAAATCGACAAGAAAAGAAATAGAAGCGCCAAATGCAAAGGTTTCCTATATTATCCTTATCAAATATGCAAAAGCATTAGACAAACTCTGTTAGAGTTGCTATTGGTGTTTGCAACAAATTCTAGTCTTCAGACAAAGCCAATTTTCCATTGTCTATGCCATTGTTACTCAGTAGAACTACTGGGTTTTGGTCTGTCGTATATGAAGTTTTCTATCCAATCATTCCTATAGTCCAGGAAGGGGACTGATCGGTACACAGGGTCTCAGAAAGGGAGGTAATTTGTAACTCAGAGAAACTTTTGTTTACGGTCTCGCATTTCTATTTTTTTTTCTAACGGTACTCTTTCTCTGACAATCTCAGTTAATTTCTAGAAATTAAAAACACCAGGAATCTAGCACAACGCTTGTTCTGGAGCTTAAGGGGCTGAAGGCTCTTCAGAAGTGGAAAAAAGATGAAGCATTAAGCCTGACGTTGAAGACAGAAATAGACCTTAAAAATTAGCACTGGTGGTTTGGTGGAAAGCAAACACTCAGAGAAATCAAATCGCAAACCCTTGGCCAGCTAAGGAGGGAGCGCCCGGTAGGCTCCTGCCCAGGCAAGATGCTCGGCTCCCGGTCTTTCTGAAAGCAGCCCCACTTCGCAGGCCCAGAAAGCTCAGTGGAGAGATGTTATCTCAAGTCTGGACTTGTAACCTAAGCAAGTTCGTCACAAACACAGTAGGTAGAACTACAAGAGAGGACTAAAGGGATGAGCGATGGGTCACATAGTGGTGCAAGGAAGCCCACCCACCCCTTGACCGTCCCCAAGGCAACGAGCCTGAGTCCCAGGAAACACTCACCGGCAGCCTCGGGCTGGCGACTACAACTCCCAAGAAGCTGCGCGGCTGACGGAGGAGAGCCCCTCCCAGGATGCAGCACGGCGGCGCCCGAGTCCCTCCTTCTCTCTTCACTACTCCACCTACTCTTCTACCCGTAGTCACACGGGAGAGCCTGAGGTAGGGTGTGGAAGGAGGTCCCCACGCCCTCGGCGTGTCGCGTCAGACGCTGGGAGGGGGACTGGGCGGGGAGCGGAGGGAGAAGGGGAGGACGCAGGGGAGGGGAAAGGGGAGGGGAGGGTAAATAGTGGGCCAGGCAGGAAGATGGCGGCTGAGGCAGAGGTGTGAGTGGACCTGGGTCTCTGCAGCTGGATTTTTCTCTTCCTTCTTCCTTCCTTTTCCCTTTCCTATTTGAGATTGGCATCGAGGGGGTCGAGTTCGGGTGGCGGCGCTGGGTGCAACGCAGGGGTCACGGCGACGACAGCTGACGGCTGGAAGAGCAGGCTTCCTTCGCCGCTGGTCCTCCTTTCCCGGTCCGTTCGGTGTCAGGCGCGGCGGCG